TCAACAATAATAAATACTCATATAAATACAAAAGAAAAATCGAAAAACTCCCGATCAAAAAACTTTGGGTAAACAAAAACATCAGTAAATAAATCCTAAATTTCTTCGTTTTCTCGTAGTAACATTTTCGATCAAACAGTACACATCTCAATTATACCATACAGTCCGAACTTTCAATGAGAATGACAATCAAGAATGATCGAAAACGCCAGAGTTCCTCAGTATAACAAGTATGGTAGCAGCGGCAACAACCATTAAACAAACAACAATGATAATAGTCCATTTTGCATTCTTCACACAAATTCGACGCTGAACGCGTCGTGCTGTCCATTGGAAGGTTTGAGACTTCAAAAAAGAAAATTTTCAAACCAGATAATTTAATTGGTTTTAAAGGTCACTTTATACCACATAGGACTTCCATTTCTGTATCAGCGAAACTTAAAAGTGCTCTCGACCACTTAGAAAATTTCCACATATTCCTGAAATTCTTCTGAATCCCTATGAATCTTTTTTCAAACTATTTGAATAGTAGCTTTTCTATATTAATTCCTCATCTTTCTCACAGTCATCCAACTTGGAAAGACTGTTCCTAACTAGATCTACTTTTCATACAAATTTTACAGTTCTAAAAAGACTTACCGACTGGGTGAGCGCTTCCGTCCTACCCTCAATATTCTCCAGTTGTTCACCTCTTTCCAGTACCCTTTGCATATTACTGCTCATCACCTGAAATGATAAACCCTAGGAAAGCAAGCAATCATCACTGCAAATTGATAAAGACGTTCTGGACAATTGAATAACTGGTAAAGCTGTAGAGCCTGTAACTCCTCCCATACGCTCCACAACAAAATTCACAACGAATCACTCTGCATACAATGAAGCTTAAATGAATTTAAAAAAAGAGAATAAGCTAACCTCCCTTATGCTTTCAACTTGTTGTCTAATCGCCGCAAATCTGTCTGTTTCCAGTTCTTCATTCCAATGATCCATCTGAAATCATAAAACTAAAATAAATAACTTTCAGACTTCCACTACCTCCTCATCCATGCAGAAATTGCGCCAGTATTAAGATAATCCGAAAATGAAAAACTATGAATTATGTATGTTATTGCCTCCATCCAAGCAAATCAAGATATTCAAGATCTGGCACTGAACATCATCACCAAGACACAAAGTAAATATTTATTGCACCGGTTGCTGAACTATACAAGAACAACTCAGAATGCATAATTCGAAGAGGAAAATAAAGGCAGTGCTTATAAAACAAAGTTCATTCATGCAAGTTCATCACAACATTTACCAACGGATAACTCTTGTTGTAATCCAGATCTGCGCTTTCCACATTTCTATGAACTCATTTCTCATCCCACATCATGGATTATATCCACTTTTATTTTGAACTGATAAATGACAACATAACCTCTCAGCTTATTAAAATTCAAAGAATTTCTTTGTGAAACTTTCAGCAATAATGAAAACGACAACCACTAGACGCCACATCCTAAAGATATTACTATACATATGGACTTCCCAATCTCCATACCATCTGACACCATACCAACCTAGCCTTAAAATGTTGCGGGACAACCGCTACATGTCACATAAAAGAGAAGCTCACAAAGCATATGAACAAAGTGACAAAAACAAAAACATCAATACAACTGGGAACATTGATACCTAAGTAATGCGAACATTCACCATTGTGTCTGTGTGTATGCTTTTGTCTATGCAATTGTACGTACTCCTGTCGTGAATACCGCAAATTTAAAGTCAATATAGTTTTCTTCATAGGTTTATAATCTTCTCAGCACACTAAGAGATATTCATACAATGCAAATCGCAGGATGCTAATTAAAATATCGAACGATGTGCAGTTCTGCATATCAACAATGAAGCATTGTTATGGTTATGAAATTTAAGAAATTTAAAGCTGAGAGAGCAGGTGTAGTACGAATAATCGTAGATGCCTAATATGTTGAATATGGATAAAAAAAAACCACAGAAGGGAGCAGACGAAAAGGAAAAACGCTAGAGCGGCAGGTAGGTTCTGCACCAATGATGTTTGCTTTCTTTCACCTTCTTTTTCTGTTATTGTCAATAATTCTGAATTGTGTGGTTTAAAGAAACGATTCATAGTAATCCAGGTCAACCGTACATGAAATGCAACTTTTTTCAGTCTATGTACGTGTTAAATGGCTTCCAAGAATAAATTAATAATTCCCAGAAATTTATTTGTAACAGCATTTGTCTGGTTCACAGAGGCCTCATCTGCAATTTACCCATCGGCCGACACGTTCAACATTCAGGTCAGACCATCCTATTTGTGCGTGCAGCAACATTCTGATAATCAACTGGGTATTACATTGGTCCCGTTGAATATGAAATTCATTAAATTATATCAAAAATTACTAGTGCAACTTTTGGATCGTTCTTCACAGCGTTAAGCATGTGTGCTACCTGCCACTTTTTGGGTAATATACATCAGCAACACCATTAAAGTTTTAACATTTCAATAGGGAAGAGCAATTAGAAAAGTGATTAGTAGTTGTCTTCAAGTCATTCTATTGTATTTAGAGTAAATTATACCAAACAGTATCAGACGTAGCGAGTTTTCCACTTTTCGTGGTTCAGTGGAAATTTAAACAAATAGTTCTACTTGGTCCAAGTGCAACACTCAGATGCCTTAAATCTTTGATAACACACTTTGAGGAAAAAGCAGTAACCGCCTTGAACTGACCTATATAAGCGGATGACTTAACGTTGAGTCATTAAAGACATATCATTCCTTCAGAAAAAGGTAGGGCAGAATCGGCGATTTTCGAGCTGTATTCACGAGAAGGAAGATGGTTCAGGAAATAAAAATCAGAAGAATTGGAGAAGACAAAGGCTTTCATCGCTTTTTCGTATTGCTATCATGCTACGGGGTACCAAACATTTGCTATCGCCACCAATCGATTCCCAATATTCATAGCCGGCAGCAAAAAAAAGGAAAAGGGGTATATAAGAATTAGGCAAAACTTGATTCCTTTTTAAGATATTTGCTTTCTGGAAACAGCTGCTTCCTCTGTCGACGATTTTCTTCAACCGTGACAAAGACAGAGTTCTTTCTGCATCTTTTTGATAGTACCTCAAACTTAGGTCATGAAACCTTTACTACGATAAATTTGTTAATACAACAACAAACTCAGCAATTACGACTTCGATATGACAAATTAATGACGATAAGAATATGAAAGGGGAACCCAATGACGCTTGATATCATCTATCCAATCTCGCTGAAACATATCTTGAGAAAATGCTCCTGGTGTTCATGACCTCCTGGTGCAATTCTGAGATCACAAGAATCGGTACCTTTGTTAGCCCACATTGACACAATGGGAGCACAATTTTAATTTACATTGCACGGCATTACATACATACACCATATTATGCCCAGCGGTATCAATTCAA